AAAACCTTTTTCCCATGTTAATTCTGTATGTTCGGTTTTAGTATACGGACCGTGCGGTTTGGGAAGATCAACCCGGTATGTAAATTGCGAGGTAAATTGTGAAGATATATGTTACAAATTTTATAGTTTAGATGGCTTAATATACATATAGGGAAGTTCAAAACAGCCTCAACTGTACCTATACGTATGCAGAGGGTGACACAAGAATTGTTTTCCGTTTATCGTAAATGGCAGTTGCAAAGAACATAGATCTTATCTTGCTAAGGTTTTAAGAATAATAATTGGGTTTCTTTAACTCGATAGTCTCACCCCTTGATCTGAAAAAAAGTTAGATTTGGGACCTTTAATTGAGAAACGCTTTAGTTTGAGCTACGCTTCGTTTATACGGTGTCTGTATCACCGTCCGTTTGAGAGTGTTGGCACACTCCCTTGATTTAATATAGGTATCTCATTTAATGTTTCACATTTAATAAAGTATACGTAAGATCTGTGTTATTCTATGGTAAATATGAAAACTGAATTTTCAATCAATATCACCTGGTGAATTTTGTTTAGATATTAAAATAAAAATTAATGGCAATATATGAAATCACATTACAAAAAACATTGATGGTGCCAAAATTCAAAATAATAAAACAATGTCAAATGCCGTAACGATATACCTATACAAGAATTTCACTTCAAAACGAACCATCGGGTGTAATTTGCAATTTTGGTAAAATGAAACAACGTAGTTTTAAAAACAACTTCATTTAGATAGTTTTGGGGATATTTAATGGAAGATTTCTCTTAGTTTTAGTATATACCCCCGCACCCCTAGCGTTTTCGTTTTTTTTTTGTTATATTGCCATTCTAAACACTTTTTATAGCGTTTTGTATGTTGTGTTAGTCGTTATTTACATTAATAATGTAGTGTAGTAAAGTGCAGAAATATTTTTTAATATTTGTGTTCATGTTTTGTGACATAAATCCTATTATTTGTGGAACGCTGTAGATCCGTTTTTACAAGCAGACCGTGCTTGAGTGCCAGCGCTCTCGCTTTACCGCACGGGGAGTAATGCGTTAAACGAAGATGGAACTACAAATTTCAAAGGCGTCTGCTATAGTTATACGACCGTCTGCCGCGTTTTTCATGGTTTTCCCAAATTCTACATTCAAAGAGCTATAATTCGAGCGTGTACCTTATGACGAGGTATTTAACAATTTTTGAATGTTTTTAAACGCGTCTGCTCGGGAAAGTTGCCCAGATAAATCGTCTGCCGCTGCAACTATGAATTTGGTGCACATTTCCGAATCAGATTGCAAAAAATCATACGTGTGCCAGTGACGAGGTATTATGTGATTTGGAACAGTTTTCAAAATTCGCCCCCACGCTAAGTTGACCGCCGCGGGCCGGCAGACGGGCGATTTTGGAATCACACGGTGACATTCTACTGCCTAGTTACATCAAACCTTTTGTACCCTATGACGAGGTATTTTCTACTACGCGGGCTCTCGGTCTATAAATAACGTCAAAAGCTGGTGCACGTTCGATAGCCATTTTATATGCAATGCGAATGGCTTCGACTCGAAACAGTATACAGGGCACCTAAAAACTACAAATCAATTTGAAAAGTTGTTCAAAACCAAATTAATAGTCGATTATTTATTTAAGGAAGCATTGAATATGAATAATAAAGATATGTGTTATACGGGGTTAATCAAAAATTTCCCCAAAAAAAATCTGAATAGCCTATAATTTTGGGTTACTGAAGAAAACAGCAACCTCACAAGAAAGCAGAGAAGAGAACTATTAGAGGAAAAGACGATTGCCAGGAGACTGAAGATGAGGCAGATGAGATACTGGGGACATACCAACAGGAGGAACAAAGACCATATCACCCGGGCTGCCAAGATTCTATGTGCCTCGGAATGGAAGGTAGGCCGACCCTGCCAAACATGGAACACCACCATAAACCAAACGGTAGAGGTCTCGGGGATTACCATGGGAAGATGGGAAGAGAATAGCAGAGACAAACATCAAAGGAAGAAAGAAAGCAGTAGAATACTGGAAGTGGAGGAAGAATCAGCCACAAGGACAAGTAGCCAAGGGGAGGAGGAAATGGGGACAGAAAGTAATGCGGGGAGAGGACAACAATAAAAAGAGCCTAACACGAGGGAAAACAGGGAAGGGAACGAGACCAAAGGATAGGAACATCGGAAGCCAATGAACGCCCGGAGAAAAAGCTATCACTAGAAAGCAGAGTTCCCTCTAAGGCAGAATACCAGTGGCGAAGCTGTGGCCGTACCCGTTCGGGTCGGATAACACCCAGTTAGCCGCCCCCCCACAACCCTCCCAATCCACAAAATCCACCACATTGTTTGGCATATGTCGCGGCCCAGCGCGATGGCAACAAAGTAGTGGAGAAACGTCCCTGCTGGTGTCTACCAGGGACGCATCCTCACGACAGTTGACTAAATCCTGGGAGAGGCGGCGACGCCAGGCATATGTCAAAGTTTCAAGTTTCAAGCAGAACTTTTCATACTCAACAACTGTCGTCAATAATATTTCTTAGAAATTAGGGTATTTTATTTTTTAACAAATTTTGTATTTTTGGCGTCCCTGTAGGTATACAATGTTTGACTTGAAACCATTCTAATTGTATATAAAGTGGTTATCGAACACGTAACAACAAATAAAAAATGAATGCGCACCACACTGCATAATACACGGTTTTTATGTTATATCACAAAATTATGCTTTTTTAAATTTAATTATTTTCAGACTTTATTCGTCCATTTTTTATAAGTTTAATTTGAAAAAGTGCAACTTGGTGCTATTTGCTATAACCTCGGCTATATAACTCGAAAACCGTTCAATATAGCAAACAAGTCAAACGTCGGAATTAGGTAATAAATAACTGAATTCCTTTTGTTTTGAGGATTATATTCAAAAATAAGTGGTTTTTAAAAAAACGAGATTGCCAAATTGGATTTCCAGATACCTCACTAGTTTTCAAAATATCGAAAAAAGACGAGTTAGTAATAATCCACCTTATATTACTTCAAAGTCAATCTAAAATCTACGAATATACTACCGTTGTCAGGGTTTGTAGTCTAGGCCGGCCCTAGGCGATAGAGACTGCAAACTGGACATTTTGAGGTCAGAGGTGGAAAAGAAAAAATGGTAGAATACGTTCAGTTAGGTGTCAGAAACAAGATATTAAAATCACCCCCAGAACGCTCGTTGCGAAGCTCCACCCCCCCCCCGAACCCGTGTTTTCGCCCTAACTGAACATATTCCACCAATTTCTTCTTTTCCACCTCCAAATGTCCAGTTAAATGTCTTTATCGCCTAGACCTAGAGTAGAGGGGCTTTCGAGTTATTTCTTTCTAAACCCAAAACAACATATCTCCAGAATGTAGATGTCTATTAGGTACTGTCAATATTCTTAATTTTTTGTATATGTTTTGATTTATCTATCCTACTTACTGACGTGTCAAAACCTAAGTATAGTAGATGTACAGTCAAATCGATAGTCAAATAAGGACTGTGCATCAAGCTAACTGGAAGAATCATTTACTGGCGGTTTAGTCTGGCTGACCGACCGCAAATAATCAAAAAAATAAATAATCTCGACGGCAAACCACAGATCATAGGGTACACCGCATTTGAGAAACTCCCTACGTATTTCCAACTTACAAAACATTCGACTTTCCAAAACATTTTCTAGATATTTCCAAAAGAACCTTTACATTTACGTAATGATTTAAGTATCTCGACTTATCACGTCAATTTTTAAAATTTCTTAGGCATCTCTGAAATTGTCTAACCACTTCCGAAGTTTCTTATATCCATTTTCGAAACATGCTAAGAAATTGTCCAATTAATTTAATTAAAAACATTTTAACATTCAAAACTTGATAATTCCTTTGTCCCATGTCAGGAAATTCATACTAATCTTAGCTTGTGTGTTTTAATCGGTTACATTCTTAAGAGAATCATTTGAAGGTAATTAGGAGACTTTAGTGCGTAATGCCGAACTTTAGTTTCCCAGTAATTTCCACTTGTTTCCTTAACATTTCGAGCCATTTTCTGCACATTGCAAAAATGTCCTAATTATGTCCATTTAAAACATTCGAGAATTTCTAATAGAATGAAGATCCGAACTAGGAACGCCCTTCTCCCATCTGTTGAATTGATAAATGTGCGATTTCACAAACCACGATTAAAGTTAATCAATGATTAAAATAGTCGGAGATACCACGTAGGACCAACCTACACCCATTTATTTACTGAAATACAATATTAGTGTGTAAATAATATTATTATTGTGTAAATAATATTAGTATGTAAAGAAACACACTGCAAAATTT